GACGCCTGCGCAGCGCGCCCTAAGGAGAGAACGCTGAGACCAGCTGCTCGTGTCTCTACAGCCCGGTGCGTGCGGGGCGCGGGGGGTTCACACGGGGGCAGAGGGGAACCCGGGCTAGGGAGGGGCAGAGGGGAAGGAAGGAGCCAGCTGCAGTGTTTGCAGAACCGGCCAGTGGGGCAGACGTGGGTGGTTCCTGTTTCCGGATGGGGCATCTCAGGGCCCTTCCCAGGGCTGGGATCTGAATGGCCCAGTGTCCCCCAGGGCCTGGCCAAGGCAGCTCTTCCCTGCCGGGTCAGGTGGAGTCGCCTGCTAAAGGGGCTGGATGCAGGGGAATGGTTTAGATACAGCCCCTTGCAAACGCTGCCGTGGCCAGGCCTGGGTTTAGGGTCTAAAAGAATCCCTGATCTGCTTCTGTGGCTGCATAAAGCTACCTGGCTCACACTATAAAGCAAGGGTAGGGAACCTCAGGGCTGGATGTAGCCCCTGGCTTGCCTGGATCCAGCCTCCAAGGCTCAGGGACCCGCTTCCCCCCTGCACTAGGAAGCCTTCACTGGCTTTCTAGCTCCCTTGCCACTACCAGTGGGGCTGGAACACAAAATCTACCAGGCTGGGCCCCCCCTAGGCTCTGGCATGGGGAGTATCTTCTTCTCAGTCAGGAACCACATCAGTGAGGAGGGTGTTGTTTTTTCTTCTCAGTTATGTGTAGCCCCCAACTGATTTTCCTGTGGGTCAGTGATCCCTGATCCAAAAAAAGGTTCCTCACTGCTGTTTTAAAGTTTGTTTATGGAGGGGAAATTGCTGCATAGAATTATAAGGGTGGCGTGGAAATCTGTTCAGGGGCCAAACTGACTGCATAGGTAGGGAGATCACACAGCTGGCTGCAGGGCCAAAGGGCAAAATTGGATCAGGCAGTGGGGTTAAGAACAGCATCTGGGCACTTCCAGAAAAAATAACCCAGTGGGGGGAAGCATTTGCAGTATTTGTAAGAATACAGGAGAGGGTTTTTCCCACTGCCAGGATGGAGTGTTGCAGTGCCCACTTGCCAGGGCTGTGTGGGTGGCTAGTGCCTGGAGAAGGCACCTTCTACCTGCCTGAGAGGCTGGATACTGGGAAAGGTGGTGAGATTGAGAGGCTGGGGGCTGCCTGTGTGAGCTGCTGTTTTGCCTCCTGCCTGGCACCCTAGTCAGGGTGAGCAGCGTCCCAGGTTTAAAGGGACAGGGCTGGATTTAAGCCCTGCTGCAGGGTCCTGACTTTTTCTTAAAAATAGGCAAATTGCCCTGTATTTTCTGTCTCCCCCCCCCCCCCCCCCCCGCGGGGGGG